TTTTTTGACTGTGCCCTTCGGTGTTTTTAATAAAGGTGGAAGGGATCTGGGTAAAGGAATTATGAAAATAAGGGTAAAAATAGGAGCACGGTCAAGTCTTAAAAAGGTTTTCATTAGGCAAAATAATTCAGGTCATGTGTTTGGTGTTAGTTTTTGATATTGTCAGTAAGCAATATATGATATAACTAATATGTAGGCCCGCGAGAATATTTCCTGCAACCGTAATATTACTATGTTTAGTATATTTCATGCACAATCAGGCGCTGTTCAGTGTATAACGCACCCAGTGAGTCACATGACGGAGAAGCAAGAAAAGGCAATGTATTTTTACTAATATTCCTAGCAGCCAGTGATTTTAACGGCCTTGTCAGCTGACACATAAATTGGAGATGTTCAAAAGTAGTTCTCATCAAATAGCAGATATTTGCATTGGCTGTGTCTTATTAACACCGTCAATGTCGGCTCTTCTTATGTTTGCAGATGCCCACTTCCGACAGTCCTAAGTACATAATCAATCTACGAATATATGTGTCATGTGATTGGTGGTACTTATTTACAAATTGCATATCGTTTTAACTGGTATTCTTTCACAGGAACAATATGGCAAGCAGAAATTACACAGATCACCGAACCGAAGTAGTGTTTTTCCCTAACTTTTAACTGTTAGCATTCAACAAAAGATTGTATATTGTAATTAATTTTAACTTGATATTAAGACTTAATTAATTAAACTAATCATTAAGTACAGTCTCTGTTCGTGTGCACAGCCGCCCCCAGACCCGCGCCGCAGTCAGTGAGATCACTGGCATGCTGCTCATTCCGTCCTAACGACTTTATTATTTGGCAAAACGTATATAACATGAACACGTGATAAATCTAGTACTATCAATCTCTGTGGGAAACTTGAAAAACGCTATAATCTGGAATATATCTAGAATATATTAATGCAAATGAGTTCCCCAGTACCGGCTTGAATATAGACACTCCATACTCTCATGTTGAATAATTGAAATTTATTGAATTTGACAGCACGATAGGCAATATATAGCAAAATAATATGCGTGCGGAAGTGAATACAGATATTAAATTTTTAAAAATTCTAAGATACCTATACGACCACACTTTAGCTATAAGTCTCTGTGAATATTGAGTTTTATTGACGCCGGCCACGATTAGTCCAATTAATTAAGACAAATATATGCGTACCGTAATCTCGCCGGTACGGCTGAATAATACACCCGATGCCATTTCGAGTAGTGAACCCGCTAACACTTCGCGAACAGGGGCAGCAACATCGAAAACCTTAGCCAAGCAGGGTATACGAAGTGTCCAGTCTGTGGTATCCGTTTAGTCTGTGTAACAGCCTTTTGCATGTGCAGCCAGTTGTACACATTTCAACCAACAGCGCCATCTCTCGGGTAACATATATTTCAATATCCCTCATCATCGTCAATCGATACGATTGTCTATTGTCCTAAAATCATAGTATATTCCATATATCCATCTTCCATATACTCAATAGCATATCTTTTGCTATAAATATGGAAATTTTCACTGTATTGTTGGACTGTGAAGAATTACTATTGCGAGATTACGAGATTGGCTTTCATGATCGATGATTTACAATGGGAAGCTTCTATTGGGTTTGTAACGAAGCGGTACGTGATGCTACCCGTTTCAAAGTGGATTTGTTGTAGAGATGAAGAAGTCCAAGCAGTTGTGTTTAGCAAATAGTATTTGTCTTCTCACGTCGGCAACGGCTCGTGCGCGTCGCACGGAAGAGGCGGCGCTCCGCGCTGACGCAACAGCGTACTCGTCCCGTCCTCCTCCTTTCAACAAGAACTTCCATTTAATACGTTCTAAGCTAACACATCAGGAAAGTTCGCCGCCTCGCGCGGAACAACCCACCCCGCTGCAACCATGCACAACAATCTGACTCTCACCGTGTTCTCGTCTCCTCATGCCATACTACATCAAGACGCGCGTGCCGCCGACTACTAACAGCCACTTATGCAACACCGTCGGACATTTCTAATCACCCTAACTACTACTTCTAACATTTGCAATACCACATCTTTACATTACCGTTCCTTTCCTCCAAGACGATGGCTCCTATACAGCCATCGACTTTAGCGTCCTCAGCTAATCTAAAACTCGAGCAGAGGCACTCACATGGAGAGTGCCTAGCTCCGCGTGGCGAGCATTGTAACATGTACTGCTGCTTCGCCTGGTGCGGCGTGCTGACTGCCATCCCCCTGCTGCTGATCCGCCGCTCACTGCGCTGCTGCTGACTCGCGCACTCGCTGCGGCGTTCCGTGTACATGACCTTTTAGAGCAAACACCGATTACTATTTTCTCATTCCTATGGTAAGATCTCAAAAAAAGTTTGGCGTAACACTTCTGGTCGCTAGTCTTTTTCTGTACAGGCTAAATTATGCGATTTCCGGTTTAGCGCGCAAGAATGAAAAAATGACAATATTGAAAGTTTCAGAGCATAACATATTTTTAGCCACTAACTAACTTTCAATTGCACCTGACAACATGAATGAGTATTACTCATCAATTTTCAAGCATGAATATTGTTGCCAGAAACTTTGTTTCATAGGTACGAAAATGGCTACATTTGCTCACTTTAGCCAAAACACTAGCCGCAAAAATCGCGTTTCAACTTGACAGTAGCTCTAATTAGATTGCTTCTCACCGTCACCGCCAATATTGTAGCTGTAGAGCTACACAAAACATTTGCCAAAAGTTCCTTATTAAGTTGCTCTAATGATCCCCGCAACCTCCCCTGGACTAATGATGCTTCCCGGCTCTATATGATGCCAGGGGGGCTATGTAACTCCAGGTTGCAACCCTACGCTCAAACTCGCGCCGTTTTGCGAATCTTCGTCAAATGAAATGATAACTCCGTAGTAAGTTGACATAGGAATTGATTTTGTGGGCAACATATAGGTTCTTTAACAACACAAAGGATTTGATTGACACCATTAATTATACATTTTCGGAGTTCATCTCCAAGAGTAGAAGAAGTACTAAGATGTCCTGCCACAGCGATAATTAAGACAACGAAATCTGTCC